TCATAAAAGTTTCTGTTAAATAGCAAATTTTGGACACAAGAGCAATTCTATGGTTCTTTTGGACATGTAAAAGATTTTCTTGTCCCACTAGCCCGAAACATGATGGGAAATCTGCCAATTTATCTATAATTGCTTCAAGATTGTATGGTAATTTCTTTCGCCAATCATGAGCTAGAAATATTTGAAGATGTCGCACTTTTAAGCATAAGTCTCCTACATAGAGATCAAGCTTTGGAAGTTCTACAATTTTGTCCATGTCATCTTTGGTTACTTTGCAATATTCTGTTTCAGATATATTTATTGCAATAACTCTTCTACTCTGCACTACTGTATAGATGTTCTAGAAGAAGTGTAGTGTGAAGAATAAATTTGGCATAGGTTTAATTTTCTCCACATTCCTTAAATGTAGCAATCTCAGCCTGTTTGATCATTATATATTGCCACAAAACTTGTTGCACTGTTTTTTTAAGGCTGTGATAGCTATACATATAGTCCAACACCTCATGAAGCACTCTAGGCTCATTTTAAACAATAACAAAATTATACAAGGAATTTTATAATTTTAAAAGAAAAGAACTTTCACAATTTTAATGGTCAGGTAAACTTTTAAATAATAGATAAATGAAAATGGGACAAAATTACCATATCTTTATACAAAAAAAATCTTTGAAGACCAAGAGAGGCCAATGCGAGGGGGAATGAAATGTGTTAACTAATAGTGCTCTAGAACTGTTGTTTTGTTTAGTCCGCATGAGGATAGTGACAAATGGAGGAAGGTACAGACAAATAAATAGATCAGCTTTTAGATTTGTTATTGAGTACTAAATTAATATTTTGCTGATCCCCGATTATCCTATTTCTCTTGCTTTTGAGCAACACAGCTTAATTTATCGGCTTATTTTGTTTTAATCTATGGATCGTTTCATTATACCCAGGATACCGTTAAGGCCCTTGTCTCTTGCTACTTTCATAACGGAACTTTCGGTATTAATATCTAAAGGTTGACCAGAACTTGACTTCAAGTCGTTCATCGCTGCATTTATATTTTCCATTGACAATACATCAAAATCTCCAAAATCAATGTCAAGGAAATCACTCTCACTTAAGGACAGGTTTTCAAAATTTGATTCGGACTCAATTACGTCTGCAACTTGGCTCAAAGTAACATCATCATTCTCATGAAAATTCCAAAGATCCATTTTTATTAAACTATTGTAAATTTTAATTGTCTTAGGCTTTAATATAGGAGTAGGCAGTACCGAGCAATGCCTTGATTTTTCATTGGTCCATATACATTGTCAAATGTTAATATTTGATCATTAATATGCAGTATGCAATAAGCGGTACAAAACCTTAGCTCAAGCTTTTTGATTGGTCTTCTGGTACAAGTAACTTACACACCTGGATATTAATTGGTTATTGGTAAATACACTCACAGTTTTTAATTCACTCGGGGCTCTGCCCTTGTGAATTAAAAACTGTCAAACACGACAAGTACAAAGAAAATTCACGTATCAGTCAGCCTACTGCACCAATGTTGATTGGAAATTATACCTTGATGAAAATATTTTATGGACACTTTTTAAAAAGGGCCAAATTATTTTCCATGCATTTGTCGATTCCAGCGCTGTTTAAGTTTACTTGCTCAATATGCAGACCACATTTCATAATTGAAGAAAAGGGACAATCACTTTCAACTTTTTAAATACATTAAATATATTTTTGATAGCGGTATGTGATACTTGCATGTTGTGGAAAAACAGTTACTTTTGAAAAAGTAATCAAACCTGTAGCTCAGCTACTTTATCAGCAAACTGGAAAGAAAAATAATCCAGATAGAGAATTGTACTCAAAAGGGATTCAGACGCATCAAAAGAAGAATGAGGGATATGGTCTCATTACTATAGATAGAGGACCCAGAATCATGACCTCCATTGATGCTATTTAACAAAGAATGTGTCACAAGAGCAGATGAACAGACAGGAGGTCGCAAAACCTACTCCACGAGAAGTTTCCGATAAGTATTATATTCCCAGAATGCCTAGTGTGTAAGGACGGCAAAAACAAATGATGTTCATTGGATGAAAGAAGTATATTTCTTTGCGTACGAATTTAAAAAACCAGAAGTCTCTGACGAGACTGTAGCTCTACTGGTTTGTACTTATAACGAAGGAAGATATAAGTAGCACTCAGACTTGAAATTTGCAACAGCAATAAATAGAAAAATGATCCTTGGTTTAGTCTCTTTTTGTAGCAAGATTTATTGCAATAAGACTAAAACTGTAGGAGGAGTAGCCTTTTGAAAGAATTTTACAGAAATTTCGATTTGAGTAACCATGGCAACATCATTCAACAAAATAAAAACAAAAATACAATTATGTATCTTAGTGTCGTCTATTTGTGTGCCAAGTTATACTGAAATCAGACCAAAACTGTAGGAAGAGTAGGATTTTGAAAGTATTTCAAGGAAATTTCTATTTTTAGTAACCATGGCAACACCATTCATCGAAATGAAAAACAAATAAATAGAACTATGTATCTTAGTGTAGTCTACTTGTTTGCCAAGTTATAATGAAATCCGATCAAAACTGTAGGAGGAGTAGCATTTTGAAAGTATCTCAAGGAAATTTCTATTTTTAGTAACCATGGCAACACCATTCATCAAAATCAAAAAACGATGTACAGAATTATGTATCTGAGTGCTGTCTACTTGTGTGCTAAGTTATACTGAAATCAGACCAAAATTGTACGAAGAGTAGCATTTTGAAAGTATTACAGGAAAATTTCGATGTTTAGTAACCATGGCAACACCGTTCATCGAAACTAAAAACCAATACACAGAATTATGTATCTTAGTGTAATCTATTTGTGTGCCAAGACTGATTGAAATCAGACCAAATTTGTAGGAGGAATAGCGTTTTGAACGTATTTCCCAGAAATCTCTATTTTTAGTTACCATGGCAACACCGTTCATCGAAATTAAAAACCGATAAACAGAATTATGTATCTTAGTGTAATCTACTTATATGCCAAGTTATATTGAAATCAGACTAAAACTGTAGAAGGCGTAGCGTTTTAAAAAATTGTTTATAGACGGACGGACAGACAGACAGACGGACGGACGACGGACACCTCACTATCGCATAAGCTCTTCTGGTCTATGACCAGTAGAGCTAAAAATGAATTAATTTTCTATTTCTTGTTGAAATATACAAATTTTAACAGGAAAAATTAACTTTTTATTTATACTTTAGCATAAATAAATATTTATTGACCTCTGACGTCACGAGGTTGTCATTCATTCTTAGCAATGGCGAAGATGAACTTCAAATCAATTGTCAACATCCTTGTAAGTATTAAATGCTCATGACAACAAACTCAAATTATGCAAACACAAAAAATTAAATAGTATCAAGTAAGGTGACTTTTTTAAAAAGGTTTTATAGGTTAAAATTAAACGCAGAGTGCCGAAGTGCAGTCAGGTATCTAGCACCTCAAGTGACAAGTCCTTGTTTATAAGCAAGAAATTAAAATGCATTACTTCATAATTTGGATGATATTGTTTCAATTACTGGGATAAGGCTTATTATTATATCTTTTCTTAACTTGTTATGAAACAACATAAGCAGAAGAGAAAGGGGAGGGGCACCCTGTATGTCATCCTATATCTGCTCTGGATGAAATTTTAAAAAAAAAAAAGGTCTATTCTACAATTCAGAATGTATCTTCTAAATCTAAGAAAAAAAATTACCAATTATATTTTTCAGGCATACAACCTTAGCTTGATTATCTCAAGCCCATGTATGTATTCTGGGATAGATCACAGCTATTTTTTTTTTCAGTAAGTATTGTTTTAAAATACTTATTGATTCTTCAATGAAGATAGCATTGGATGCATTCATTAAGTGACATGTATGTTTGCTGCATTTGAAGTAGGTATATGTATGCTATTATTGTAACAACTAGATATCATTGAGATGGTGGCTATCTCAAAGGGCCCCGCTTTTAGCAACGAACATGAAAATGTAAGGTAGTTGAAAAGAGTTTATTTTGAAAAGGAACATTTGTGTATTATTAAGGGATGTGTTGTTTGAGTCTAAAGGGCTTCTATGTCATCCTTGTAATGATAAAAAATGGCACGAAAATCACGAGTGCTCCATACCCTCTATCGAAAAACGACAAAAAAAAAATCACGAATGTTGCACATCTATGAAAATTGTATTCTCTTTAGAGAAGTGGACAGGCTTTCGCCTACATCCACTTCTCTTCGCAAGCCTTCATGTTTTGATTCTGGAAAACGTGTAAATCTCGAACAGGTGACGGTCTACACTTTAACTGACATTTCGTCTAAAATACGTCTGAATGTACGTAATAGACGTGTTATATTATCAATTTTAACATAAATACACACAATTGTCACAAGAAAACTGACCTTTAAGTATTGTTAATCCATTTTCACAAGTTCTCCATCCCGGGGGGGGGGGGGGGGCACGCATGATTATTTATTTGTATTTTTCTCAAGTTTATGTGTGCTGTGTTTTATTACAAGCATGTAATAAACATACTAAAACATACCCTCAACCAATGTCAGCCCTCGGCCCTTCGGCCCACTAGCTGCGTCTCGAGCTGATGCAAGATGTGATATGGAAATTAAAGGGTATATATTATTCTCTATGTATATCACGGTGTACATGATATTTTTGAAAATATTTTTACCATCATTATCTTGTAGTATATTTAATGTATGCATTCTCTAATAAATTCCGGTAATTTATTTTCAATTACAAGTAAATTACATGCTATAGATACAATCTACGGGTATTTAACCCCCCTCCCCCCCCCGGTCTGTGTTGTAGAATATATTTGCTTCTTTCGAAATTTATTAATTTCAGATGATGAGTGTGGGGCACCAAAAAGGAAAAATTCCTAAACTTAGTACCTTTGCACATAACCGCCTATTATCATGCATTCATACATGTATTTAGTAGTTGATGCACGTTTTAGGCCAAATACTCTTGTAGGGATGGCGGAGGTATACCAAAGAATGACCCGGTCTCGCTCCCATAGAGAATAGTGTGACAGTTAGTTAGGATTGATGCTACTCTGTAATACTTTCCAACAGGTTGTAAATACAGTTTTTGATTCTTCTTATAATCAAGAAAAGCAAAGAGAGTTAAAATTTTGCTGAAAGTCCATTCTACACACACTCTCACTGCCGACATTCTTTTGTTAAAGCGCATCTGATTAGCTGAGATCACACCTCCCCGAAATGGGGGTATTAGGTAAGGTGATAATGGGTATGCGGGGTCACCGTAGAGGGAGTAGACATCATTATTTGCCTTTGTCATATATTGTTGCAGTTGATGCTCAACGTCGTTTTCTCGTAACATACCGGCATCATGACGTCGACCTTCAATTGGACCAAAGAGGTGCGCTATCATTCCATCAGGTGTCGTAATACACTGAAACTTAAGACCATGGACTCTCTTATGGCCATTAAACACCAACTGCTGATGAGATTGGGGTCTGCATATTGGCCTCACCGTTCCGTCTATAAAACCCCAGCAATTTAACAGCGGGGCTCCGCAGTTACTTATGGCTGTGGCCATTTCATCCAACTTTGCGTGCGACAACCAAGGCTGATTTAAACTCTCGAGTCTGTGTCCGTGGCTTGTATCAATGAAATTAAGGACAGTGTTAAAAATGTATGATAATTCAGCAGTTGATCTCCCAAATGTATGCGAAAGGTCTTGTAATCTACTTGGGTACGCTAATCGGCGAATAAGAATACACAAACCTTCTATTCCAGAACATACAGTCCTGTTTTGGCACACAATCTTTCTTGGTAAATCTAACGCTTCACACAAACCATTCACATCTTCTCTTTTAAATCTAAATAAATTACGGAACTGTTCATTGCTTAGTTCATCAAACTTTAACTGCCGATAAACTGATGAATCTTTTTCATCGCCCACACTTGCCAACAGTAAAAGGTCAGCATCATCCTCCAAAGATGCAAGTAACATCAAATTTTGCGCCATTTTAATTTACAATCACAGAGATGGAAAACTTATTTTGATTTGTTTATTTTGATTTTTTTATCCAATGAAATATTTTATTACAAAATGTTTTACACGTGCTGTTTGTTAAACAGAACACGATGTTAGTTACGCGTACTTGTAAAAACACTTATAGGTTTACACGTACACGTAGACGCACACGGTCAAATGCTTAACCTCTCTATTGTAAGAGTGACAGTCTGATTCTTATAGGATGTTCGACCACAGGATCAATACCATGTGCTTCAAAGGAGTATGACTGAACAATTTAATTTTACAAGGAACATTATGACCAGTGGTAGTGATGATTTACGGACCAGTGGAGGTAATCATTAAATTATCAGAGTCATGGAACTTGAAAATATTTACAACTGTAAAAATTCAAAAAAGGATATAACTCTGTTTCAGAAATAAGTTAAATATATGTATTACAATGACAATTTTCAGCTTAACAATGTTGTCCTAGAGGAAGTTGAACTGGATATGCATGAGACGTGGAGACTGGTCCTTCGGATGAGACCGCATAAACTGAGGTATCGTCTCTGGTCTCTCACCAGTAGAGTTAAAAAATAAATCGAAATAATGAATTAAATTACTTAAACTTGGTTTAATATAATGCTAAGAATATTTTAATCTATTACAAATTGTTTGAGAAACAGTAAATAACCATTTTTTCTATCTTACTTCTAAGTGCAGATCACTCTAACTGCCTGTACGAAAAAAAACTCAGCCCTGATTTCTTGGAGGTATTCTTGGCATATTATTGTACCAATTCAGTCTAACTCAGTGTTAAAGAATTGGATTACTTAGATGAATTCTAGACGGTTTATGGACCGAAATATGTAAATTAGTTCTCCTAAGCTAGAAGGAGTACGTCTAAATATATTAGACGGATTACGTCTAGCAGTATATTCTGGTAGTGCGCCTAAAAAATTAACCCTGTTTACGTCTAAAACTCTTAATCGTTATCCACCTAGTAAAAGATCTCCCCAAGGACAGCACTAGACGTATTAAATCTTAGATTAGCACTTCACTTTTGGTGACAGTCATGGTGAATCCTTATTCTGTGAAAAAATACTTGAGATTTAACAAGTTTAATTATCTTACTTGTGACTTCATGCATTATAAGAAATAGTTTTAAATTACACTATTATTTCCACATATTTCATTTTCCAGGTAAACCTGATTGCTAATTGACAGATCAATTTAGTCCATTTTCTTCACAGTCTTTTAATTTTCTTCTGGCATAGCTGACTTTCTCAGACATCATTAAAATCGTGGTCTTTCAGATTGTCCTTAATATTTTTTTTTTTACACCAAATATTGACATAATCTGCAATATTACACGATGGAAAGCTAAATTAACGTGATTTATTATAATAAATTATTTATTATAATAGAAGGAACTTTTATCTTGAAGTTAAGGTATTTATGTATAACGACCATATTTTGTATCTAATAAATAAACGGTTCTATATTTGTAATTATGGTATCATTTTGAAGGTGTTATGAAATAAAAAATAATACTCCCCCGAAAGAAATGTACAAAATTTTGATTATTGTCAAATTAATTGCACCTTGAATTTTACATTGAAGTCTAAAAAAGTCTAATAAAGAGAGAGTGTATGCATATTTTCACCAAGAGCTTTTTTTTATGAAATTCAAATTACTTTTTACAATATCTTAATAACACATGCATTGCCCATAGCCTTCAATGTAAAATTCAAGGTGATTTCTGAATTCAAGTAATTTGAATTTCATAAAAAAGCTCTTGGTGAAAATATGCATACACTCTCTCTTTATTAAAATATGAAATAAAAGTAATTATTTACCACATATATTTTGACGAAATTAAAATTTTCTTCTTCACCAAAGGCAGATAACTTCAAAAAATTTTAAAGTGCAAAATGACCAGTTTCTTTTATGTTAACAGTCATATGAATTTGGTTTATTTCACTTTCAATGTTATACCACACAGTCTGACACATCTGTTTCATATTTGGATATTTTACTTGAAAAAGACGTTAATGGTTATCTAACAACTTTATGATAAACGTGATGACTTTAACTTTTCAATAGTCAACTTTCCTTTCTTATGCAGCAATATACCTTCATCACCTGCATACGGGGTTTATATCTCTCAGTCGATTCGATACGCAAGAGCATGCTCTATGTATGTACAATTTCTAAACCGAGGTAAATTATTGACAAACAAGTTGATGAAACAAGAATATCAGCAGTCTTGTTTAAAGTCATCATTTCTTAAGTTCTATGGTCGATACAATGACCTTGACAGCAAATACAATTTATCATTGAGTCAAATGCTGACTGACGTTTTTCATACTAATTGTTAGACCATTATTTACACTGAATTGTCGACGGATTTTTCCGTTATTTCCCAATCATGACAAGGAGCACACGGCGGGTGTGACCGGTCGGCAAGGGATGCTCACTCCTCCATAGCACCTGATCCCACCTCTGATGTTTTGGAGGTCCATTTTTGCTCTGCACTTTTTTTGTATTGTTTAATGGACTTTTGAGCTTGAATACTGTTCGTTATCTCCACATATTTCATCTAGCAATGCATTTTTAATTAGTTTAAAATGATTCAAAATTGTTCAAAATCCCTTCATTAGGCATTGAATACCTTAAGTTTTTGCAATTAAAGGAAAGCTACAAAGCAACGCACGAAAATTCATGCTTTTCCTGAATTATAAAAACATGCATGTAGATTAAGGATATCCGATCCTCAGCCAGGAAGGATAACTCTTCTTAAATTTATTATTTTATTTAAAAAGTCTCAAAGTGAAGCTTGAAATTGAGATTTCTTCGTGCAACAATTTTCATTTCATATCGAAAGTTCCTCTAGTGTAAAAATCTCGGGCAACAATTTGCAGGTTAAAACATATTCGGAACGGGAAGGATGAGCCCTCTCAGCCGCTGTTGTTGCCCTTCTGAGGTCATCCTCCCTTGCTTCCAGATCTGAAACTTTTAGCAGTTTGACTCTCTAAAGACATACAAAGTTATGGTTATTGAATGAAAATGACCTGCAGCCTGCGAAATCAACTATTGAACCGAAAAGAAAGTCATCAAGTATCCAACTCCAACATATAGAGAGTCTTCTCAATGATTTGGGTGATCAGGTTAAAATCCACAGGTTATAAAATAGGCTTATAGATTATCTACAAGAACTAAATCCTTAGAAAGTTTAATTTCAGATGAGTTTCCGGGATGAGATACAAGCTGGGGAATAAGCAGCAACTGAAAGAATTGCTGGGAATGCAAACAACATACTGCAACCCAGATTTCATGCAAAACAGAAGGATAAAGGCAGACCGAGGAAAGTGCCCCTTAAGAGACCAACAGATGATGACATGAAAAAACTTTCACAATAAGGCCATCATGTAAAAAGTTGTTTGTCGTACTATGATCCATATTTTTATACTCCTGCTCTAAAGGAGAGGGGGGGGGGTATACCGTTTTACCCTTGTGTCTGTCTGTCTGTTCGTTACTTATTTTCGTTGCAGTTTTCTCAGCAACTGCTCTTGGCAGATGTTTGAAACTTTAACACACTGTTTGTTTTGATATGTCATATGGTGGGATTTTTTTTTGTACAAATCCAATGTCAACTTCCTGTTTATCTGTGCGTCTGTCCGTACCAAATTTCCATTTCAGTTTTCTCGGCAACTACTGATCCCAGTTCACTTGAGAGCGTATATTTACATCAGAGCAGTGGTATTAATAGTGAGCATAACAATAGCTCACAGACTTCTAGTCCAAGATATAGGTATTATTAGAAGAAAAGAATGTTATTGCTTACAGATATATCTCCGAAAAATTATTCAAATAAAGTTGGTTAGGTACATAAAATATTGCATTAATATTAAATACATGGAAAGGCCCACTTCTTAAGCATTGTTTTAAACAATGGCTTTAAACACCCATTCTAACAATCTAATTAAAATTAGATGTTCCGGATCCGCTACCGCTTCTCAAACATCTAACAACATCCCATTCGGGGACACGTCAGAGCGACCTTTCGATTATGAATAAACATAAAAATTTTGGCCAATCAGATTCAACCTTCTGTATATAATTCTAAAATTAGTTCCACGGCTATATCTTTACATTATTGATGCTCAGTAGACTGTCTTAGATTGAATTAAAGTAATTTTGGTATAAATTGAACTATAGTCCGCCAATCTGGCATCCTTACCTGAATAAGGCAAACGAAAAACACAAACTACATGTATCCTTCATTCTCATTATATCGCGGGTTCCATTGTATCGCGGTATTTCCCAAAAATTAGGATACATAGCTCATATCCTTTTTGTTGATGGACTATCTGTCTGTCGTCTGAATGTTGACTTTTGCGATGGTTAAAAAGTATGGAACACCCGTTGGAAAAATATTTATTCAAATAAAACGAAATTTTACAGATTTCCATTCCCGTTTTTATTTTATTTAGACCATTGAATATATAACCAAGTAAAATCCATAATAAAGTTCATATTTTGAAAACCTTAAGTTTGTATTATACTTAAGTTTTCATGTAGATTTACAAAATAAATTAAAAAATATAAAAATTGTACTTTGTGACCGTGCCAAACCTCCATGTTTTCAATACCGCGATACAATGAGACTCTCCACTTTTGGATGTAAATAAGACTTCCTGTTATAAAAATAGAATACAAAGTAAACGAAGAAAGCTTAGAAAATAATTAGCCACTAAAAAGTTAGGCCATTAATAGGTTTATGAATAGTATTTGGTGAAAAGTTAATGTAAGAATTTGGAATAACTTTTTTATGCAAAAGAAATAAGTACCGCGATATTATGAGACACCAGTATACTATATATCCCGCACGTCACATTCATACATAGCATGGTCTTTACCATGCATATTTTGTTTACTACGAAACCCCTCGGGCGTTTAGGTTTGGCAGTAAAAAAAGAAACGCATCCGAACTATAAGCCAAGATT